ACAACGTGGTTTACAAAATACCATGCAACACCTACCACAAACATTACATCGGACAGACAGGAAGAAAACTAGCCATCAGAATACATGAACATCAGCTAGCAGCAAAACAACATGACGAACTTTCCTTAATATCAGTACACTTGGACAATGAAGGCCACCAGTTTAACTGGGACAACGTAACTAAAATAGCCCAAGCCAAACATAGACACGCACGGGAATTCCTAGAGGCATGGTTCTCAACCCGTAATGCAATCAACAAACACACAGAATTGGACCCTTATATACAAACCCATACAGATCAAAACCGGAAATGACACTACTCACCATAACAGACCAGACAGTATAAATTCCAAGCAGCGTACAACAACATTGCATCATCGGAGGCCTCACTGATGATGTTACCTAGCATGGTAATGCAACGTCTGAATGAAAACAAGCCAGCTCGGTGAGCAAGTCAACAACCTCACCCATAACCCAAGCTACAAATTTTTGCTAAATAGATGCACGCACCATAAAGACAAAAGAAGGGAAAGAATGAGAATTGAAAAATGTTGGAGAAAATATGAACGGGACCTTTATGTTAAGTAGAAGCTGAAGAAGTATACCATAAAGGAAGGAACATATTGATAGGGTGAGCTGAAATAGGATGGGAGGAGGCGCTTGTGAAACATGGGCATTGATATAAACCTGTTGTACCCAGCAGTCTTCTTTTGCGTCGTAAAACAGTACCATGTGTAAGGGTGGCAAAGGAAAGATAGGGAAACCGCCAAACAAATAAACAAGGAATATTTCTGTAAGAAACAGTATGGCTGTACTACGCCTGTGAGCACTGGCCCTGAAGACCTAGAATAAATTATTCAAAAATTATCATCCTGAAGCTCAATTTTAAGTAATTGTGTAAGAGATAAAGAAAACTCTGGCATTAAACGCAAGCCTGATAAATCTCAAATACTAATTAAATATTGTCTGCTGTAAATCAGAAGCAAAATCTTCTTGTCTTATACAATGCATTAAGGAAGTATTTAATATATGACAAAAGCAACATCAGGAACAAAGCAGGCCAGGCAGCATCAGAGGAGCAGGAAAGTTGATGTTTCGGGTCAGGACCCATCTTCAGAAAAGGGGAAGGCACCTGGGAAATAAATAGAGAGGAGGGGTGGGCCTGGGGAAGATAGGTGGAATGGTGATAGGGAGTGCAGGTGGGGAGTGGTGGGAATTGGTCAGTGGGATGATGGGTGGGAGAGAAGATGGATGGGTTGTGTCAGGTCAAGGAAGTGGGAATGAAAGGGAGGGTTGGACCTGGGATGAGGCAGGGAGTGGGGAGATTTTATAATTGGTGAATTCCATGTTTAGGCCATCAGGCTGTAGGCTCCCTAGGCAGAATATGAGGTGTTGCTCCTCCAGTTTTCAAGTGGTGTCATTGTGACACCGGAGGAGGCCCAGGAAGGACATCCAGGGAGTCAGAGGGGGAGTTAAAATGGTTGGCGACTGGGAGGTGTTGTCGTTTGTCATGTACAGAGCACAGATGTTCTATGAATCTACGCTTAGTCTCACCAGTGTAGATGACGCCACATCGGGAGCAGTGGATACAGTAGACCAAGTTGGCGGATGTACAGGTGAACCCCTGTCTGATATGAACAGTTTGTTTTGGGACTTGATGGAGGTGTAGGGGTAGGTGTAGGGGCAGGTGTAGCATTTCCTGCGGTTGCAGGGAAAGGTGCTGGGGGTGGTGTAGTTAGTGGGGAGTGTGGAGCAGATGAGGGAGTCGCGGAGACAGCGGTCCCTATAAAAGGCAGAAAGGGGTGGGAAGGGAAATATCGTTTTGGTCGTGGGGTCGGATTATAGGTGATGGATTGGCGGAGAATGATATGTTGGATGCAGAGGTTGGTGGGGTGCTATGTGAGGACAAGGGGGATTCTGTCTTTATTTTTGTTGGGGGCAGGGAATGTGAAGGCAGAAGTGCGGGAAATGCAAGAGAAGAGGTTGAGGGCATTTTTGATCACCGGAGGGGTGAAATTACAGACCTTGAAATAGGAGGACATCTGGGATGTTCTGGAGTGGAACGGTCCATCCTAGGAGCAAACATGGTGGACGTGGAGGAATTGGGAATAGGGGATCGCATTCTTGCAGGAGGTTGGGTGAGGGGAGTGTAGTCCAGGTCGCTGTGGGAGTCGGTGGGCTTGAAATAGATGTCAGTTTCAAGACGATCACCAGAGAATGAGACGGAGAGGTCTAGGAAGGAGACAGAGGTATCGGAAATGGTCCGGGTGAATTTGAGGTTGGGGTGAAAGGTGTTAGTAAAGTTGATGAACTGTTCAAGCTCCTTGTGGGAGCACGAGACAGCACCGATACAGTGATAAATGTACGTTTCAAGGTCGAAAACAAAACTTGCATCTCAGACAGGGGTTCACCTGTACATCTGTCAACTTGGTCTACTGTATCTGCTGCTCTCAACATAGCCTCCTCTACATCAGTGAGACCAATCACAGACTTGGAGACTGTTTTGTGCTCTGTATGTGACAAGCAGCACGCCTTCCCATCACCAACCAATTTAACCCCCCTTCCACTTCCTGGGTGACATGTCCATCCTGGGCCTCCTCCAGTGCCATAATGACACCAACCGCAAACTGGAAGAGCAACACCTCATATTCTGCCTCATCCCATGTCCAACCCTTACTCTCATCCCCCTCCTTGACCTGACACAACCCATCCATCTTCTCTCCTACCCATCAGCCCCAAACAAATCTCACTGACCAATCCCCACCACGCCCCACCTGCACTCACCAATCACCATCCCCAGCCCCACCCTTCCTCTATTTATTTCCCAGTTCACCACCACCACTTTCTGCAGAAGGGTCCTGACCTGTAACGTCAACTTTCCTGCTCCACTGATGCTGCCTGGCCTGCTGTGTTCCTCCAGCTCCACACTGTGTTGTCTCTGACTCCAGCATCTGCAGTTCTGGCTGTCTCAAAAGTAACGTCAGGACTGTTTTGAAAATAGTTAGTATTTATGCATGCTAAAATTAGCACTGAGGTATAAAATGACTTAAAAGGTTTTCAGTCAGAAGGTACGATGTGAATACAATGAAAGAAGTAGAAGTAATGTCTTATTTAATAAAATGTACGAGCACGTCTTTTCATTTCAAGTTCTCCCTTATTTCAATTGTTCTATATGAAAAATAGCCCATATAAATAGGAACGAATAAGTACGTTATTGAATGCCGGTTGTCTATTTATAACTCGGGTATTTAAGATTTCGTTAAACATATTCAGGACTGGATAAAATTACTTCCCTTTAAGTCTCATTACAAATGGTAAAGTCCAAAATTAATCAAGCCCTGGTGTAAAAATGTATAAACATTTGGTTGTAGCTGTCCATGAAGCAAAGTTATTTGATAGAAATTACATTTTTAAACAAAACAGTGTAGTGATTTAATAAGCTATTATTCTACCGTAGTCGTCCTTTTTTTTTCCCCTCGTGGTAGTCCTAAAACATTCCAAAGAAAGTTGAGGTCACTTCATCTCACGACGTTCTTAAAGTTTTCAGCTAAATTTCTTGTTCTAGCTCCTCGTTACCCTACGTTAACAAAAATCAGTATTGTCGTTTAATGATCCATAACTCCTTTGTTAAACTGTCTGTCTGGTTGATTGTAAATGCCAGTCTTTTATTGTGCCAGAAAATATGGAAAACGGAGTATGGAAAGATTTAATTTCACACAGTTCTAAGCTATAATGAATAGGAAGGCGATCTTGAGTTTACATCCAGGTTAAAGTGGTTGCTTTCCGAAATAATGCGTATTAAAGTCGCTTTCTCAATTTCTGCAATAAGGCAAACAAAGGGATTAGTGGTTTTGTTGAAAGTATTTATTTGGGTTCTGCAGTTATGGAACATAGACACTTCCTTGACCTTTGTTTTTCCCACTAACTAGATGCTGCATAAAATAACACGATTATTTTTTTTCTCTGACGTTACGGGAATGTCGGTATGAATCAATGTTGTACAATCCGTGGAGTCAACTGGATTTCCAGGATGAAGGTACGGAAGGGTATTCTAGAGACGGCTGGATTGGAAAAAAATCCTTTTTTCTTAATTTCAAAACTTCTTCATAGTCAAACCCGACTTGTGAACGGGCAAAATTAAAATCATAATTTAAGCATAACGGCCTAAATGTTTACATTACACAAAACTAAAACGCTTGCAGTTTGATCCACTCCTAAAAATCCTAATGAGCAATTCGCTATAATAGAGCATTCACTCTTCATAAGAGTGTAGACAACCCTTTTTACTCCGTACTCCTTTCAGTTGTATTTTGACGTAATTGCAGATATTTTCAGACGTATGCTATTCACAATAATAACTGTTTGAAAACTCGTCCAAGTGCTGGTTGGTGGTGCTTCCTAATGACACTAGTCATGGTTGGAGGCAATTAGAACAATGTCTCAGCATTTTCATCACTTTAGCTTGTTCGTGGAAAAGGACCACGAAATAAGAAAGAACTTCAGACCTGAATAAACGGGTTTAATGGTTTCTACTTGTGCTTTGTTGATGCGGTGCGGTTTGTTTTTCTCTCTGGGCACAAGCTGATTTCCCCCTCCACTGACTGCTCTGAGCTGGCAACATGTGCACTTGTCACCTGGACACCTGAGACTTGTCTAACGGATCCCGCCGACGCCTAGTACGCATGCGCAGCCGAGCTGACTGCAGCGAGGGTCCAGAAGATGGCGGAGAAAATGATAAGGTAGCGAGTGGTTTGGCAGCAAAATAAACTGCAGTCATTCTGTCTTTAAATTCAAGGAGAGATCGAACTCAAATATAGATCGAACCTTGTCATTTATTAAAAGGGAGGACTTCTCTATTTCTCTGTATCTGATCGTTTTTCTCTCTCTGGTGTGGGTTGAATTCTGCTGAGCTTTTTTTTTCCAGAATATTCTACCCCCCCCCCTTCTATTTCTCTGGTGCCGGTGAATGTGAGAAACAGGAATTGCTCGGGTCGAAGGACATGGCGAGCGACAAACCGGCACTGCCGGTAAACATGCAGCCTCCGGCTCCGGCTGGAGCTGGAGAAGACACCGGCTTAGATACTGGAGGAGAAGCCGGGGCCGGGGGTCTGGAGCTTGGCACTAAACCACAGCCACCACCGCCGACAGCGACAGCAGCAGACACGGTGGGTTCGATGGTGTCCATCTCTGGCATTAACCCTTCTGTGCCCATCAGGAATATTAAGATGAAATTCGCCGTTGTCATCGGCCTCATCCAAGTTGGGGAGGTCAGCAACCGGGATATCGTGGAGACTGTGCTTAATTTGGTGAGTCTTTATTTAAAGTGTAGCGATTAAATTTGTCCTTAATCTGTGCCCTTGAGAACTGGGGTTTGGGGGTAAGAAATCGTCTTGTAAGGTTTAGGGGAGGAGTAATTACTCCTGTTTATCAAGGCAGAAACGTTGACGTGAATTCTTGTCGGTATGGCATTTTTGTTGGGGAGCCGATGCGGAATCCAAGGCAGGCTAGGCGGTTTATTGCCATGGGTTGTGTTGCACCTGGCCGAAAGGATTAAGGTTTCTTTTAATTAACCAGATGCTGTACGCAATCAGAAATCCAGACTCGATCTGCGATAGGAAAGGGCATGACAGCCGCTTCCAAATAGTGCGGAGTGGGTGGGGGTGCAGTGGCGACTAAAGAGGCGGAAAGCGAAGTGACAGTTTTATGGAAATTGATCTGTTCGAAATTAACCTGGCTATACTGTAGGCATGGTCAGCGTCTTTTTTTGTGTATGAGCAGAGAGGGTTGTTACTGTGAATAACACGCACGCATCTGATTTACTTTTCCACTTAATACTTGAAAACCCCTTCCTTGCGTCTTCTAAGAATTAGCACTGCCTACCCGCGATTTAAGGGCTTTGTTTTTGACAAGCTGCGGGTTATGTCGTAAAGGCCCCTGTGGCCCCCGTCCCATCTGACTCAGTGTCCTTTGAGCATTATTTGACTTTTTATAGGGATGATTGAGACGATTGCAAAGTACATCGGATGGCTTGGTGAAGTGTATCAGGCTGTTTTTAATATCTGAAAGTACTGATCTCGATGGAATTTCTAATTTCTACTTTTAACTAAAACATCCAAACGCACAAGAATATATAGATAGTAGCGCTTTTGAATTGGCAACTAACTGGTTTGAATAACAAATTAGCTTTTGGAAGATAATGCTGTAGCACTGTAATCACACTTTCCTCAGTTTTGAGCAGATGGGTAAGAGGACCACTGTGCAGTTTGGAAAACCACCAGACTTGCTTGAAATTGACAAATGACTGCTATACTATTCACCTCAACTTAATCTGAAATTTGTCAGTCAGTTATGGAACTAATGATTGAGCGATACCACCAACATCTTAGAAACCACAAATTGACTGCTGTTATTGATTTGCGTAAAGTGCTTTCCAGAAGTGTTAAACACGAAAAGCTTAATTTTCCGTGCTAAACTTTGCGCTCAAGCACATTTTATGAAGTTAGCTGTAAATTGCCTAGAATAACAACAACTTTATTTGTGTGGAATGATTGTGTATTCTGTTAATTGACTCTTGCTGTTCTGATTTCAAGGCTACAGCTTTGGTGTCTTGGTCATAAGATGGAAAGAGGCTTCTCAGCCCTTTGCCTCTACTGGCTGTATCAAAGAGTTATACAGTTAGTTTTACTTATTTTTTGCAATTGTGTACAAAGTTTTGTACTTCAGGTATTTACTTGATTCCCTTTTGAAACTTCTTACTGAATCTGATTTCATCACCTTTTTCGGGCAGCTCATTCCAGCCAGTAATACACTGTATAACCCTTTATTTGTTTGATAGTTATTTTAAATGTGCATCCTGTTTAAATCATTGACACCCTTCCTAGAAGTATGAAACCCAGAAGTGGCTACAATTCCTCAACTTGGACCACACCAGTCTATTATAAGATTTAGTGTAAATTCATTTTGTATTCTGTGCCTCTACTTCTAAATCCAAGGCTTGCATATGCCTTTAATAGCATCCCCACCTTGTTCTGCCTCCTTCTAAGACTCGTGCATAAAATCCCAGGTATTTCTGAGCTTCAACACTTCTTCAAAATTGTACCATTTAGCTTATTGCTTCGAACCTTTCTAAGAAAATGAATAATTTATCATTACTTGGCATTAAATTTAATCTGCCATGTGTCTGCTCATTTCACCAGTTCGTCCATGTACTCCTGACATTTGTTGCTACTCTCTTCAGTGCTTACTGTATTTGAGTTTCATGTCATCTGTAAATTCTGAAATTACACCCTGTATACACAAGGTCAGGGTTATTAATATATACTGATAAGAGTTGAATACTGTGCCATTGTGTACTTTAATTCAGTCTTATAAAATTTGCTTAGAAACAAGGGGTGATTCTGGTGGTTGATTTTGTGATCAGAGGTCCGTTTCTAGTGGGAATTCTAAAATCGGTGCTAAGTCCTCTGCTTTTGTGGTCCGTATCAGTGATTTCGTCTTGAATGTAAGTGGTATGACTAAAGTTTACAGATGATCAAATCTTGGACAAATATGACTGATAATGAAGAAAGACTGCAGGAAAGAATCAATAGACTAGTCAAGGTGAGTGGGGTCGGTTAGGTCGGTTAGCTGGATGGCTGGCTTGCAATGCAGAGTGACGCCAACAATGTGGGTTAAATTCTAATGCCAGCTGAGATAACCATGAAGGACTCTCATCACCCTGGGTGGCATGGTGACTCGGTGGTTAGCATTACTGCCTAAGTGCCAGAAAGGGTTGATTCCAGCCTTGGGTGGCTTCTGTGTGGAGTTTGCATGCTCTACAGGTGTCTGCACGAGTTCCTGCTGGATGCTCCAGTTTTCTCTCTGTCCAAAGATGTGCAGGTGGATTCACCGTGCCAAATTGCCCTGCAGAGTCCAGGGGTGCGCAGTCTAGCTGGATTACCAATGGTAACTATGGGCTTATGGGGATAGGTTGGGGGCCTTGGTCTGGGTGGGATGCTCTTTGGAGGCTTGATGCAGCCTTGATGGACTGAATGGCCTCTTTTTGCATGGTAAGGATTCTATGATTCTGACCTCTCCCCTTACTTGAGGTGTGATGACCCTCAAGTTAAACTACCACCAATCATCTCTCTAATGCGAGAAGCTCTTCAGTAGGACTACAGCAACTTTGTATATGTGGGCACGCGGAGGTGGTGTATGTGTATATGTGGTGCACAGTGGGTTAGGCTGTTTATATGTCGCATGTATGTGTCTGATGTATATATCCCACACTGCAATCTGCTACTCGCTTCCCATTTATGCTACATTTGTCCTCCTCGGGGCACCTACAGGGTTGTCCAAAATCAAATCCCTCACCTTGATGAGAACAAAGTCTCTCTCAAAATACTATTGACTATGCATATTTTGTTTATATGGTTATGAATGTATTACTGTCTTTGTCACTGGGTCAAAATACTGGAGCTCCCTCCCTTAAAAGCACTGTAGGTGTACCTACATCAAATGGACTGTAGTTGTTCAAGAAGGCAAACACCATCACCACCGCGCCCCCTCCCCTCTTTCCGCCCCACCCCACCCCCACCAAGCCGCCTCAAGGGCAATTACAGATGAGCAATTATTGCAGATGCAACCAGTGAGGATCCCGTTGTCTGAATGCATTAAAAAAAAATGAACCCTTAATTAACTAAAACTTTAATATTGTTTGGGTCTTCATATACAAAAAGCATGTTCGTACTATGTAGCTTTGTGTACAATAAAAAAAAATCATGTGCTCATGTTTCATAATGAATGTTTATTTTCCTTTTCATATATGGTGATATAATTGTGGGCAACAATCTTTAGTGCACTGTCAATCAGTGGCATTATACCACATGAAGTATTCACTTTTGCAAATTCCTGGACATTTCTCATCTGGCAACATGAATAAATATACACAATAGTGATGTAAACTTTTTTATTCGTTTGTGGAATGAGGGCATTGCTGGTGAGGCCAGCGTTTATTGTCCATCCCTAATTGCCCAGACAGTACTTATGAGTCAACCACATTGCTGTGGGTCTGGACTCAAATGTGGGCCAGGCCAGGTATGGATGGCAGTTTCCTTCCCTAAAGTACATAAGTGAACAGTCGGCAATGGATTCATGGTCATCATTAGACTCCCAATTCCAGATATTTATTGAATTTAAACTCCACCATCTGCCGTGGCAGGATCTGAACCCAGGTCCCCACAACGTTACCTGGGTCTCTGGATTGACATTCGAACGACAATGCCTCCCTAGATAAACACCACATATTTTAAAACATTCTTTTGTTCAGATTGCCTTCCTTATGATTAGAATTTTTATTTTGACAAGAAATAAATTTTCCTCCTTTTACCCCTGTTGACTGCAACCCAAAATTATATCACATGTCAAAACAATGTAATCCAATCACTGTGGAATTGCTGAAATTACATAGCAAGATGTTTTCATATTTTACAGTAATTCTACTTTAACGCATAGCGTAACTTAGTTTCCCAGTACAAAAGTCTGTGATCAGCAGTTACAGAATGCATACTGCAATTATCATTGGGATTTCAATGAAGTCCTGTGAATTTTTTTTAAAAAAAAATGCCATTTGGGCTGGGTATTTTATACACTTTCAGCATAGTCAGCCTTTTGAATCCATCCTTCCTATCAATTTTCACCCTATTCATTTCCTCTATCGTCTCTGTTTTGTTGATATTTTAGCAGCTTGTTCTTCCTTAGTAAATAACGATGCAATGTACCAACTAAATATTCTAGCCGTGCCCTAAATTTCTAAGTGTATTTCACACTCTAATTCTTGCTTACTGTCTACAAATAAAGTTTAGTAACTAGGTTACAAAGCCTTCCTGAGGGGCAAAATCAGGTTTTGGACTGCTCAAACATTCTGTTTTTTTTTCCAGGTTGATAGTCATTGTAGTTTGGATTGGCTCAAACTTTAGCGTGAGCTCTAAGTGCTTATGATTTCATTCATTCCTTGCGGGGATGATCTAATTTACACTGACATTTTTCATTGAACTGTACACTTTAAAAGTGAATCTTTTGGTTCTACTTGCTACTACATTTCCCATATTTCATGTGTGAGACTTTGGGGGAAGGCTCAAAACGCAAACATCTTTATTTTGCCTGCAATTGCATCTTCTGTAGTCTGAATGTTTTAACAGAAGTGTTTGTTTAACTTTAACAGTTAGATTTGATAGGACCAGACACAATCCTGTCCTTAAAGTAAAACGAAACACCGAGAATACTGGAAATCTGAAACAAAAACAGAAATTGCTGAATTAACGCGGCA